AAAAAAAAAAATAAAAAAAAAAAAAAACACACACACACAATTAAACAAAAAGTTCTCATCACAGGCATGTTCATAAAAACGAAAAATATTTTTTTATTAAAAAAAAAATAATAAAAATAGTAAGTTGTGATGACTTAGCTCATGAATGCTAGCTGATAGTCAACTTATAAGATAGTTGATAATATGTTAACTATTAGTGATAGTTCATAGCTCAAAGCTAGCTATTAATTTGACTCGTTTGTTACTAGCGTATTGATATTAAATTAAATGATTGGACCTTGAGCTGTTAAATTCCCTAATAAATTTAGCTTGCTTGATAAATAGGCTGTTCGGTTTTAGAATTTTGGATTCAAAATGCTAATATTAAGAAAAATCAACCAAGCTAACTAAATATTTGCAATAAGGCTATTGTTAGATGGACAGACAAAACTACTATTAAAATAAATATACATATTTCCAAAATGTAATACTTCAAAAACAATACAAACAAAAGTATTACACAAGAGTTTGTATCAAAAAATTAGGGCTACTTGTGTCATTTTACTTTTCTATTTATTATCAATTAGATATGTGATTATAAATTTATAACTTGTACTTGTGTACGTATGTGTACTCACTTTTTTGGTCTTGGAGACTGTATCAAGCATATCAAGAACCTCAGGATCAGGGGTGAGCCCATAGTATTTGGATACATTTATCTCCTTGAATTCTTCCAAAGGTATCAAAGCTGAAATTCACAAAAAAAATTCAACACATTAAATAAATATATAAATGAAACATCCTAGACGTAGATAAAATATTTGCACAACAAAAAAAGAGAAATAAAAAAAAAAAAGGATTTATAAGTGTAATATATTTTCATACGCGACCCAGTATCTTCAAAAAGCTGCTTATTGGTAGGATCAGCTTTGGGAGAAACAACATGGATTACAATAATCCTATCACCCTCTTCAATCAGGTTATTGATTGCCCAATTCAAAGCTGATTTGCTTGTGTCTGAATAATCCATTCCAATCCCAACCAAACGTGCCCTTGCCATCTTATTTACAATCTTGTGATAATCCTTTATTGTTGATCGAACTTTTTGTGTTAGTGTGTGTATAGTTTTTTTTTTTTTTTTGGCNATGATTGGAATTATGGAATATAAGGGACTTTCTTGAAGGAGCCAGAAAGTGACAATTATATAATTTATTTAAATCTCTAAATTATATGCTCTGTTTCCACTTTATATATCCTTTTTGATTGATAAGATGAAAAAAGTTGGCGGTTGTTAGAATGTGTCCAAAAGGAATTTTCAGCACACAGCTTTGCTGCAGTGGACAATTTATTCTCTGAGGCGGTTTTTGTTAAACTCGGTCCCCGTCAAGTATCTAATTTTGGTAGTCAAATTAATATTGCGATCATTGTTAATAAGATTATAGCAAAAATTTTGATAGGTTCTTTTGTTCTTATGATACTACATATGTTAATTTATTCAGAAATTTAATTAAAGTGGAACACATCATATACGGGGACAAATAATTCTAGATCTTGAACTCTAATTTACGGACACTCACTAAAAAAGCCTGAGTATTATAACTAAGTGTTAGAGCTGATATTTTTTTATCCCTATGATAAATATTTGGTAGTACTTTCAATCAACACAAAAACATTAAACGTGATTAATGGATGAACTTGAGAATACTGAGATTTATTATTAAGTTAAAATAAAATAAATTAAGTAAACTTGAGCCAGGGTGTAGTGATTTTGCCGGGTTAAAGTCGTGCTGGGCAACGGAGCCCCGCCGTAAACGGGCTTGCCCGTACTCACGGTGTGATATCAAAATTTAACGACCAACTATTATAAAGTTGTGATATTAAAATTGATTAGATTAGAAATTTGGTTATCAAAAGCAAGAAGTAGGCCAATTTGTGACAGTAAAGTTGGATTATTCCCATGAAAAGAAGTCACTAGTTAACAGTTAACACAAATAAAACAATATCATAAACGATTCTTGCACCAAGTATAATTGTCATCCCATAAAATAATATTAGTGGGTTTGCTAGTAATGTACACCATTATGTTTGTAATTACTAATTATACATGACCACAACCCGAATAGGTTCGGTTCGGTTTGCGATTCAACCCGAAATCGGCCAGTTGACTACAGATTTTAAATTGGCTCATAGTTTTATTCAAGACGGTTCCGATTCAAGTATTTACAAATTTTGAACCGACGATTTGACATTTTTTTTTTTTTTTATAAATCGAACCAGCTCGTATTATTAAACCGACCCGTACATATGATAGAGAAATTACACACATAAATTATGCCTTTTTTTTAAGATGAATTTGTCCCTAATAAATACCCACTGCAATAACAACTTTCAAGGTACATCGAAAGAAAATTCGAAGAACACATTTGAAAAACACAAAATGGAAGTATGAAATTAAAAAATATAATGTAAGAACTCTTAAATTGCAAAATTTGAGTCATTCATACATGAGGGGGTATTAGATCAAAAGAGAACTTTTGAGACGTGTTCGGTCTGAATCAGACGCATGTGGCCAAGTCGACAACTCTTGCTGGTGTACAACACGTGCGATTTGGGTTGCACCTTGACCGCATGTCGCGACGCGGAAAATTAGAATTTATATTTTTTTTCTCATCTAACCTCTACTAACTAGTAGTAGCGGCAAGTATGGGTCGATCCCATGAGGAGTGTGAATCAATTTGTGAATTTTCTCGTATTAATGAAATTATAAAAGCATTAATACGGGAGGTTTTTGATTTAATTACTAAATAACTAAAATCCTAATGAAGAAAATAAAATTTAAACAATGAAAATAAAAATAAAATTAATAAATTAAGAGAATTTTCTATTCACAGTCCTATCTACACCCTCAACCGACTTATCAAATTATTTCTAGTATCAAGCTTCATTATCTTACAGAATTACTAGCCCTAGATAGCAACACGTTCTGATACCTGAAATTTTCCTTATTGTTTATTTAGCCGAGAAATGTTTTCGGTTACCTAAATATTGGACAGTCTAGACATGCTCTCTAGATTTAATGCAATAGCTGCTTTAGAATCTAGAAAAATAGGCTAGTCTAAGTAGTAAACACAATTGCGCGGTTCACTTAATTAGGCGTTGTTATCCCCGACAGTTACTGACCATCGTTTGCTACTTACGACTTAGACGCACCAACAATTACGGACCAAAGGTTTAACTCTAGCTATAGAGATGAAAAGTCTAATCTAAGTGATCAACCTAAATAACACTAAACAAATCTAAATCCATCATTCAAAATACAATTACAAAAAAATAATAAAGTTATCAACCACGAAAATTTATCAGCTATCGTCAAGTCACAGGGTTCGACTTTTCCGGAACTAGAAATAAAATCTACTATAACATAATAAATACTACCTCCTATTTTTTCTAAACTAGTACAGAGCCCGTGCGATGCACGGGGTACACAATTTTAAGGCTATTTATCCAGACTTATCATTATATACATGAATACAAAAAAATGTACGGGATATATATAGTACGTGATCCGTGCGAGGCACGAGATATATTTATTTGAGGAATACTATATTATAAGATGCAATATTCAATAAAAATTTTATAATACGCAGGAAAATTATACAATAAGATAGTATTCGACAAACAAACAATCATATATTATTAAAGACCACCTTGTACACAACATTATAAGTTTGATTTTCCATACAATAATAATAAGATTTTTTTGTAAAAAGATAAGAAGGAATTTTCAATCTACACAAACTTTAAACATTAGATGTATTTACGTAAATCAATGACTATATAGACAACTAAACCCTTCAATTTAGGTTTGACATCTACTTTATTATGGGTGACGTAAAATAAGGATTTAATTTTGACCGATTAAATCTTTATTTATAGGCTTGACATATAAAACTGATTTGATGGGATTTTCTTAACTAAACTGATGCTATGGGATAAAAAAAATTTATACTTACCTTTGGCTTTTCCAACAAAGATAAAAAAATCGATTCTGATTTTTATCACATAACAAATCTTTAATGTCAAGCCTATAAAAACCAAAACAAATCTGTAATTAATATCATTCTATTTCCAGCAAACATTAATTACCTTTGACTTTTCTACCTACTATTTCTAGTAAATAGGATGACTTTTTATATAAGTATAGATTTCATATAATGCAAAGACTGAGATCATAAAAAAGAATCCTAAAAACTGAAACAATATATTTGCATAATTTAAGGCCATTAAGAAATCGATCTCTAAATCAAATTTGATTTTCAGAATATGTTTTTTCATTTCGAATTCCATACAAAATGGAATTTTTTCCAACCAATAGATGTCATAGCAAATATTAAATCTTAACTATTAGACTATTAGTACATACCGAGCAAATTGTGTACTGATTTTAGAAAGTTAAAATGATTCATGTTAGGTAATTTTACATTTTATGCATGTTGAACGGTGGGTTTTAAATATTGTTTCATAGAATATAAAAGTGTATTATATTATTTTTATGAGATGTTGAATTTGAATATTAATAGAATTATTCTTCATAGGAATATTAAATGTAACAATATTCTTTGGTATACACTACTAATAAAATCTATATTTAAAGTTTATATTTTTTTTTTACCGGAAAAAATGCCTTAATTTAAGGAATCATATATCTTCAATAAGTCCACATCTATATACATTCTTCACAAATTAAATCTTGAATTTGATGAGAATTCGTATCTATGAGTGCAAAATATGGTTTAATAAATTAATTTTTTATTATTATTCCAGCCATACTTCTTTATACGATTTTTTGTGAAAATACAAAAGTAAATTCTTAATTTTAAATCAGCCGTACATTAAAGAGTACAAATTTGTTGAAATTACAAAAGTAGTTTTTTATTTTTAAACAGACGTAAATTTAAATCAGTCATAAAAAAGTAATATTTGTTTTCCATTTAAATATTAAATCAGCCGTAATTAATGTTGTTTGTTTTAGTTGCCACGATTTTCTCTAAACTAAATTAACAACTGCCATGATTTAAGGGCAACATTTAATGCTGCTCTATTTTTAGGAGACATTAAATGTATTTGGCGGGAAAAACTTACTAAAAGTGTTAAATGGTTAATCTTTTAATATAATGATAGATGTCATTTTGGCTTTATCAATAATTTACTACATAAATGACGTTCTGGATCTTTTTGTACATATTTTTCCACTAATTTACTACATAAATGACGTTCTGGATCTTTTTGTACATATTTTTCCATTATTACCCACATCTAGCTAATAAATACGATACGTATTTTCCTATTCACTCATCATCTTTTCTCAAAACATCATATCTCTATCATCATTAATGAGGGTTATTATTAGCAAAATAAAAAAGATTCTTAATTACTGTGCAACTTCTCAAAACGACACTTATTAAAAATATGAGGAAGTACTAAATAAAAAATAAAAATAAAATTATCCTTATCGTGTACGAGGGTCGTATACGAGTGCGGTCTCCTTTCGCGTTTAGCCGGGTTTCTCGTATTTGTATGCCTGTGTCTTGTGTCTTTTTTCCTAGTTTTTTCTCCTTCTCTACTGCGTGAATTTTCTGGCTGCGTGGTTGTGCCCCTTCAAATAAATCCTCCTCTCAAGAAGACTCTCAGACCCAAGTCTATTGCTATGAGTGAATCTGGCCTCAATTAATTGAGATCCTCAATATCTTTCCTTCCCAATAGTTGTAGGACTCTTGTTCTTTTTTCTTTTTTTTTTTCTTCTTCTTCCAATAACACACTTGGGCCGACCTTTAGAGAACCCAATCAATTCCTGGGCCAAGTCATTTTTTAGGCCCACAAATTGGTGATTATGGGCTTAACTATCGTACATGGTACCAATGGTCCAAAAATTGGGCTGGTATGGGGTGCCCCATACTGCACCGAGTGAAATTCCGTTTAGTATCATGCCGTCTATGAAAATACTCCAATATCCTGAAAATAAAACACACAAGAATCCATCCAATAAATAAATAAGTCGAA